GAGGCAGCTATTGTAGAGTGTGATTCTTGTTGGATTTTCTTTTCCTTGCTGTCAAAGGGGCACAGGTCCCTGCCAAACTGTCAGCCTAGGATTGTTGGGGACCGAGACAAGAAGAGTCTCAAGACCTCCCCTGGCTTGGTGCCTACTCAAATGTGCAGGATGTGCGGAGCCACGTGCACCCGCTGTTACGTGGGGGCAGTGTGTACATTAGTTGACACAGAAGGTGCCTGAGGTCTGTGGAGACTGCTGTGCGACTATGTGGCACTGAAAGGCTGGGCAGTGTGAGTGCAGCAGTTCCTCAGATGTAAGCTTTTCAGATTTAGCAAGCAGTTGGGGTGTGTGTGTGTGTGTGTGTGTGTGTGTGTGTGTGTGTGTGTGTATTCCTGAGGTAGGGTCTACAGAGCTCTGACCAGCCTGGAACTTGCCACGAAGACAGGGTGGCCTCAAATTCACACTGAGATCCTGCTGACTCTGTCCCTGGGGCGCTAAGATTAAAGGCATGCGCCATCACGGCCAGTGTGTTGAGTGAGCGTCTGAACTTCAGATTTCACTAGGCACCCTGCATTTTCCGTCTGCCAACTTCACTCTGATGCTGTGTGTAATTATATACGTCATGCGCTGTGTCAGGCTGGCCTGTGTGTGACTGATGTGATGTGTGTCTGTGTGGGACTTGGATAGGACAGCAATCCACGAATGAGGATGTGGGTGACCTTGAGTGACTGGCTTGGTGGCTTCCTCAGGCAGCTTTGGGCTGTTTGCTCAGTGAGGCCTGGCAGTGCCATGAGACCCACCCTGAGCAAACACTCAGATCCAGACCTTTTAGGGCTTGGATACAGCTCCTTTTTGTCACTGTAGTAGGACATGGCCCTCTCAAGGGCAAGCCCACCGTGGAGGCCTGAAAGCATTTTGACCTGAGGGTCTCGGTACAGAACTACCTCTCCACTCCATTTCCTGGTGACATCACACAAGTCCCTGTCTACTCTTCTAGAACAGTGTCTCGGGTACTATTGTTTTGCCATAGACAACATCTTGGTATTCACTTTGCCCTTAGTAGCAGACAAAGTTCCCACAGGAGGAAAGTGGGGAGGGGGGCCCGTGGGGGAGTTTGTCATCCAGAGGCCTCCATCTGTCTGTAGATGGTGAGTAGGGGTGGGTACCGCTCACGTGGAGACTTGAGTGTGTGCCGTGCAGCTGGTCGTCTCTGTAATCCTACCACTTTCCAGGCTGAGGCAGGGCCGCCTCCAGTTTTAAGCCAGGCTGCTGGACTAGAGTTAGACCCATCTCCCAAAACCAAAAAACAAGCAGCAGGTACTGTGTGTGTGTGTGGGGGGGGGGGTGTTGGGGGGGTTGTTAAAGTAATAGCTTGCCAAATTTTCAAGGTCCCCACAAGTAGAAAGGATGGTCCTCAGGGTAGGGGCTATTTCAGTTCAGGAGAACTGGATCTTTTGTTTTGTGTAGCCCGGGTTAGCTTCAAACTTCCTATGTAGGTGAAAATGACCTTGAATTGCCCCTAAAGTGCCTGCCTCTGCCTCAGCGGTGCTAGTACTGACATACTCCAGCACAGCCAGCTGCTGAGTTTCTCATTTTCCATGGCCCCTGATCTCTGGGCCTTAATGTCTTCACTTGCCAGGGTGGGTCCACATGGCATCAGTCTGAGGGTCTTTAGAATTGGTGCAGGGAGTTGAGGGCGTTAGAGAGCAGGTAAAGGGACAGCTCCAGGTAGAGTCTGCATGACCCTTGCACCAACAGCTGTCTGCCATAACCCCACTGGCCCCCTGCTTCTCCCATTTCAGGAACCACAATGCTGAGGATCTAGAAGTCCCCTCTTCATGAGGGTGCAAGTGAGACCCAGGTTTGCTCAGCGCTTCCCCGGGCCTTGAGTCCTCACATTCCTCTAGCTTCTCAGTTTGCTGATTACCATTATCTCTGCACCCCACAGCACCTGCTCAGTGCCAAGCTTTTGGGATCTGGGGGCCATAAAAGAGCCAGAGCAACCTCTGATCTGGGCCTCACAGGTGATATACCCATCTTGTGTGTAGGCCCTTGCTCCAGGCACTGACCGGGCATGGCAGGCATCTCGCTTTGCCAGCCTTTGCACCAGAATCTAACTACATCATGATGTTTCCTTAATCTTTTTTTTTTTTTATCAGAACCAGTTTTGGACAGTGAGTTCTTCTCTGCTCGACCCATCCTCCACTATATTTTTGATTACTTTTCCAAGGAAGAAAGGCACATTCACAAGCCTTAACTCTAGTCATTCTCAGAGGTTAATGTTCCAGATGAGGAAGCAGGCAGAGAGACAGGAGAGAGAGAGAGAGATCTGATAGAAAATGGTATTGTTTTGATTTGAACCCAGGTCCACAGGCAGACTGTGGGAAACAGAGAATGCTGGGTGTCCAGACTCTTCTGCCAAGCTTGCTTTTATCTGCTTGGCTCACTCTACTTGTCTCTCCTGCTTCAGGATGCGGTGAACAGGATTTGGGGCTTCTTTGTCATGTTCAAGAGGCTGTCAGGAGCTTGAGCCAGGGACAGCTAAATTCCTGGGGTGAGGGGCGAATGGATGAGCAGATGAACTGACATGCTTCTGCATTCGTCACCGTGTCACCTGCTGTTCTTGACCTCAAGACCTAAAGGATGTGTTCTTAGTCTGGGTGATGTGAGTGACAGCTTGGTTCCTTTCATCTGTTCCTCACTAGCTGGCTGTCTTCCCCTCAGAAGGGCCCCTTAGGGCTGGGGAGGGCCTTCTGTCAGTTTGCCTTCCCAGCCACCTCCTGCTCTCACCCTCGCCTTATCTCCCCACCACCCCTGACTGGAAGGTGGGCATGGGAGGTTTAGTATCCTGCTGCCTGCTCTCTGCCAAGATTATGTGTTATCAGGGCCCAAAGCCATCAGGCCATTGCGGCCATTTCTCAACCTCATGGCCAACTCCCAACGATTCAGTTCACCAGCAGGTTTTGGCTTTGCTGGGGTTCCCTTTGGCCTCCCAGAAGCCTGGGAGTGTTGGAATCGCAAAACTACTGAGGCTTAGGGAAGATGGACTTGGGCAGAGGAGGTTCAGAGAGTCGGTGCCTGAGGCCTCTCAAGCCCAAAGCCTGCCCCCAACAGTGCTTACTCATCCCTGACACTTCTGAAGAGTGTGGGTTCAGAGGGTGTGTGTGCAATTAGCTGATGCTCCTAACTGCTGCTGGATGGAGGCCTGGGTATCTGAGGTCACTGCACAGACCTGATAGGGACCTGAAGTTTTGCTTTGTTTGAGAAGATTTAATTTGTAGAATTCCTTCAAGGCCACCTGCCATCATGGCTACCTGCTTGCCCTGCCTTTTATTTTTATTTATTTATTTTTTAAGAGAGGGTTTCTCTGTGTAGCCTTGGCTATTCTGGACTCACTCTGTAGACCAGGCTGACCTCCAACTCAGATATCCACCTGCCTCTGCCTCCCGAGTGCTGGGGTTACAAAAGGTGCCACTAACACCTACCTACCTCTGACGATGATGACGATCATGTGGTGCTAATGGTAAACCTAGGGCTCTACCACAAAGTTACAGCCCCCCCCCACCCCCTTTTTTCTATTTGAGACAAGTCTTTTCTCATTTTGTTGCCTGTGCTGGTTTTGAACTTGGTGGGAAACCCAGGAAAGCCTTAAAACTTTGAATCTTCCTGTCTCAGTCTCCTGAGTAGCTGGAATTACAGACCTGTGCCACCACACTCTGTTTCCTGCTCACTTTAAAACTGGGCATGATTTACAAACATCTCAGAGCCCTGAGCCCTTGAGGGAAAAACACATCTATTTGTGAACCACAGTGCTGACTCCTCATTTTTCTCTTAACACCTGTAAGAAAAGAACTCTGCAAGGAGAAGGTAGGATGTGATTTCTGAGGGCGCGGTGTGGGGGGGACCAGAATGCACAGCGAGGAGCCCAGGCTCGGTACCCTGCTTCTGCCGGGGAGAGCCCTGTGCGCACTCTGGCAGTAGGTCAGCGGTGGTCACGTTCTGCTCCTATTAGGAGCTTATCCAGAGGAGCACATCAAAGGCTGTCCCTGCTCCTCTGCGGCCCAGGACCAGTGGGACTGTCAGACGCATACTGGCCTGGTCCTAGAAAAACTGAACTGCAGGACTCAGCTCACACTGAGTAGGCGGGACAGAGCTGGCACAAAGGGCCGAGCTCTCCAGGATGGAGGAGTGGGCAGAGGAGTTAGCGGACAGATCTTAACCCCAGGCTACAGAGTGGGGCTTTGGGCCACTCTCTTCTGCAGGGGAGGGCTAAGAAAGCGCCAGCGTTCTGGGGCCCTGTGCTTTTGAAAACCATTCTTAGTCTACGGGAGGTGTGTACATGGCCCCGCACTAAAGAGGAGCGGGTGCGGAAACTGCCAAATAGGGATATGGGGGTGCTGGTTCAGGACCTCTCTATGGTCAGGGTGAGACTGAAGTGGAAATTTTGCCAAACTGTGGCCAGCCTGTGAACCTTGAGCCTTTGAAGTTGGACCAGTTTCGGCTTGGTTCGCATACCCTGCTGGGAACTGAGTTGGCTGTGTGGAGGAGGCTCGTTAAGCTCTTGCAATTGTGGCCCTCTCTAAGTGACTGGGGGCTGTCATCCCTATTCCTGCTAGTTACTCTCTGTGCCATGGGGGTGTGCCCACCCTTGACCTCTGTGACCGCTGTGTGTGTGAACAAGCTGTTACAGAAGGGTGTGCCTGGCAAGGGTGGGAGCGAGGAGCAGAGAAGCGGCTCACAGTTAACTTCCAGAACCCCTCTAGGGACCTCGTCCTTACTCTGAGAGTCCAGGCTACTTTGCTACTTCGCTACACCGGCTAATGCTCCTCGGTCCCCAGTCCTCTGCTGGTCTGAAGCTCCTCCCGGACTTCGCCCCTTCCCCGGGGCTCACGGGGGCGGGCGCTAGGACCCGGCGGGGCGGGGCGGGGCTCGGTGCTCCCGCAGCTCTTACCTCCGCAGCCTGGAAAATACCCTGCGAGGCGAGCGGAGCCCGGGAGCCGGGAGCCCAGCGCCCAGCGGGAGGGGAGGAGGCGGAGGGGGCGCGCGGGGCGGGGGGCGCGGGGCGGGGCGGGGCGGCGGGACCCACTGCTCCTCCCCCCAGGGCCCCCGCGCGGCCCCCGGTCGCCCGGGCAGCGGAGGCAGCGGCGGCGGAGGAGGAGCTCGCGCCCCGGCCCCGTCGGGCTCCGGCAGAGCAGCAGGCACAGGTGAGGCTCGGCCACCGCCCCCCGCCCCCACCGCGGCCCGGCGCCGCTCGCTGCCGAGTTAGTTGAGCGAGTCCGGCCAGCGCCGCGCGGGGACCCGGAGCCAGACCCGCACCTGCGCTCCCCCAGCCCAGCCCGGCCCCCGCGGGCTCCTGCGCCCGCCACGCAGCAGCCGCGCTGCCGCTCCGGGGAAGTGTGAGGTCGCTCCTCGTGGGAGGGTGGACCCAGGGATCGCCCTGCGCGGGGCTGCCAGCGCCGGGGCGAGCGCCTGCCCTTCCCGAGCCGTCTGCTGGTCCGGGACCCCGGGTAGCCCCACCCGCGCCCCCAGCGCACTGACTCTGGTCCCCAAACCGGTCTTGCAGGTCCCGGGAAGGTGGCGTCAGCATCTGCAGCCGCGTCGACGTTGTCTGAGCCTCCGCGGAGGACCCAGGAGAGTCGGAGTAAGAGCAGGGCCCCGGGCCTCCCCACGCGCCCTATGGAGAAGCCAGCTGCCTCAACAGAACCCCAAGGGCCTCGGCCCGCCTTGGGCCGCGAAAGTGTCCAAGTGCCAGATGATCAGGACTTCCGCAGCTTCCGGTCAGAGTGTGAGGCCGAGGTGGGCTGGAACCTGACCTACAGCAAGGCCGGCGTGTCTGTGTGGGTGCAGGCTGTGGAGATGGATCGGCCTCTGCACAAGATCAAGGTAGGGTTGCCCTGTGGTCCCTGCAGCCTCTACTGCTCCTGAACGCTCTCTCCCAGGAGGCTCTTCGTCCAGACTCAGACCAGGGGCATCTGGGTCCAGAGTCTCCTACGATAAACCAGAGGAGGCGCGGTGCCCCATTACACACGGGCCACCTGACGTCCCTGGCTCACCGAGCTCATACCTGGGCATGCCTGTCTGTCTGGGAGGTGGGTGGTGGCCAGGCACACTAAGAGGGGATAGTGTCTCGGGGATCCCTCTTCCAGAGCAGCTTCCACTTGGGCCCCTGGTTTGATTGACTAGGCGCGAGAACGGCCCCCCGCCGGTTCACCCCTGGTTCTCTTGCCTGAGATGGGTCTTCTGCACTACTTTGTGCAGTCTTGGGTGCCAAGGATGAGATTCCTTCCTGCTTGGTTCCCTGCCCATTGGCTCCCCCAGGCTCGGAGTCTCCAGCAGGCCTTTAGGACTGTGGCTGGCAGCTCCTGAAGGCTCTCTTGCCCTGAGCCACGCTAGGGGTAAACTAGGGAGGCAGGGCACCGGTCAAGGGAAACCAGCTCAGAAACCAGCAGGTGTGTACTCACCGCCCCTCACTGCCATCTCTCCTCCTCCCAGACCCGTGATTCCCCTCTCTCTGTTAAGACAGGGCAGGCATGAGGTGTGATGTGGCAGAGATCCTGGTCTCGGGCCTCAGCAGCCGTCCCTCTTACATGTTGTTTTGTCGTGAGTGACACATTACAGGGTGCGAACTTCCCTTTAGAGGGCTCTTAAAGGCACTTTTCTGCTGCTCTGCATCTGGGGAGGATGCTTTCTTGTTCTTAGAGACCAGGGCTCCGGACTGTCTTCACAGGGTCTCTTCTGCCTGGGGTCTGGCCTTCTACCAGAGCCTGAGCTGCAGCCCTTCCCCCCTGGCCCAGAGTTTTTCTGCCTTGCCCTAATCATGTACAGCTTTATCCACCTGTCCCCACATGATTGGCTTGCTCTTCCTGCTGTCCCTTTGCCCTCTGTGAGTGTCTCTGGACGCCCTGGCTGACTGACTCTCTCTGGGTTTCCGTGTATAGCTCCTTCCTGCCCAGGCTTAACGACCCTGGGCTGGAGCGTCTCCAGGGCCTAGTCTAGGTCTGAGCCGGAGGGGCAGGAAGGGAAAGGCAGCTGGTAGTGTCAGCATGTTGCTGCTTGCATGCAGGGTCCTCCCCACGGTGTCCACCGGGGCAGTGATGTTAGAGAAAGATGGACATGGGGGCAACGTGAAAAGTTGGACTGGCTGAGGAAGGCTTAAAACCAGCAGTGTGCTGGGGCTGGGAAGTCTGTCTTCCCCACAGGGCTGGCTTGCTAGAGTGTGTGTGTGTGTGTGTGTGTGTGTGTGTGTGTGTGTGTGTGTATGGGGGAGTGAAGGAACTCCCACCCTTTGTCAACAGGGCAGAGCTGCCTCCTCCATCTGGCTTGGTTAATGAATAAACCCAGCCTTGCCCAGGACTAGAGTTGGCAGGTATATGGACCAGACTGCCTCAAACAGACCCCTTGTGGCTAGATCAGACCTGGGAAGGGAGAAGTTTTGAAAAAGCTGTGGTGTTTATAAACTACCAAGCAGGACATATGTTTTCTCCAACACGAGGGGCCCCAGGGCTTCACGTACTGCACAGAGGCTAAGGTACTAAACACCCTCTTGTAGAGCCTGCTTTGTAATCCCTCCTCCTACAAAGGTGTGCAGGAGAAGATACTGAGGACCAGAGACCGCCAGGGCCCAGCACATGGTCACGTGGCTAAGTCCCAAGGGAGTGGGGGGAGAGCTGCAGCAAGCTTAGAGCCCTGATGGGTTAGCCTCCAAGTCTAATCTCATCTCTGACTTTTCTCCCATACCGCCTCAGCCCCATTTCACAGTAGAAGAACCTAGGCCCAGGGAGGAGACTTGCACTCAGTTATGGGTATCACCCAGTGGCCAGCCTCCATGCCTGCTCCTCCATGCACAGCGGATGGAGTTCTGGGAGATGAGCCCGGGTCTCCGAGCTTCCTGGCCCCAGATTCCAGGACGTCCAGTTGCCACACAGTTAATCCTGTTTCTGATAAGCACCTTGCTCCCAGCCAAGCATTTTCTCTTGGTTATCTGATTTAGCCTCAGGCCAGTCCTGGGGAGTCTTCAGTTTGTCTCTGTGTTACTAAGAAACAGACCGAAAGAAAGGACACCCCACAACCGAGACAGGAGTGCGACCCCAGTGCATGTCCCAGAGTCGCTGCCCTCTCTGCTGTGTGGTGAACTTGCATCCTTAGGCAGCCCTGGCCTTTAACCCCATCAATAAATAACTCTTTGAAGAACTGAAGGACGTTATGTTCTCATCATCCCACTCTTATTTGATGGATGACAAAGCTGAGTCCCAGAGGGGTGATTGACCCTTGCCAAGGTTATACCTCAGGTAGAAGCCAGAGTCCCAGGGATCACTGGGTCCCTGCAGGAGGCTTGGACTAAGCCCCAGTTGTTTGTTGAAATTCTGTCCCCTCTTTTTCCTTCTCTTCTGCACCAGGACATGCCCTGTGCTCTGTGGGGTGTGTGTGTGTGTGTGTGTGTGTGTGTGTGTGTGTGTGTGTGTGTGTAAGGGGGTGGAACTTGATTGATTTCATCCTGCTTTTCTCCCTACCTCTGTATCCAAAGGTCCCTGGAAGCCACCATGGCTCTGGGCCCAGTAGTTAGAGCCAGGACAAAGTAAAGAGACTGATGAAGGCTAACCCTACTCTTTCCCTTTCTCCTGGCCTGCCTTCAGGCCTTTACTGGGCTCTGGGTTAATGGACAGGAGGCAGACAGTGCCTTCTGCAAGTCTAGGTCCTGTACCAGAGACAGATGCTGAATGTGAACCCCAGAGACAAGGCAGAGGGCTGCTGAGAACCCAAACCCAGGTTTCCCACAGCCCTTACTGTGAGAAATAGGAAACATTTCTCAGTCATTCACCCAGGTAACCATCTAGTTCTGTGGTATTCTTTTGCTGTGTGTGACTGAGGCACATCCCTTCCACTCTCTGGGCTTTCTGGTTATCTACCATTGAGAATTCCTGACTTGAAGGAGCCAGTGTCTGGGCCAGGGTCCATGGGAGAAAGATAAGGGCAGCCCTGGTAGCTATGCTCTGGATGGCCTGTGTGATCAGGTCCTCTGATGCCTGCCATATGTCTCTCCATGTGTCATGCAGAGGAGAACCCCGAGGTTCTTCCTGATGTTTTTCAGTAGAGAGAGGAAAGACAATTCTAGGTTGGTTCTGGCCCACAGGGCACAGGTTGGTGAGTGCACACAGCGGCAGGGGTGACCCAAGTAGGAACTATGACCTATGACAAGAGCAGACTGGGCATCAGGAACCATGAGGGCTTGGAGTTAGAGGAACTGTGAGAGTTCTTGAGGGAATATGGCTAAGAGCCTCTTGCCAAAGGAAGTACCTGGGTAATAGGGGCCTGTCTCCGGGCTTCTGGTCCTGCAGTCCTTCCCTCTCCTTTGGAGAAAGCTCTCGTTATCCCCTCCTGGCCCTGGCTCACTGTCCACTTGTCCCATGCCACAGGCACCTGGGCTGTAGTCTCAAGCCAGTGTCCAGGTCTTCATCCTCATCTCGTGAGCACTGCATTCTCCTGACATGTGGCTCACTCAGGGATCTCTGAGGACCTTTCTTACCCTTGACAGTCTGTGACTCAAAGCTGTCCTGAAGACAAGGCTGGGGTACATAGGATCAGGACCATTGCCTTTTTTTTTTTTTTTTTTGTCTTCTTACTGAGTCTGCCATCGTCCTGTGAGGTAAGACTAATCAATCCAATGGATGTGGAAAAACAGAGGCTCCAAGCAGGAGTTCACTAGTGCAAGACCAAACAGAAGTGGCTGAAGTTGGATCAGAACTCAGGTCCTTACCTCTCCCCTCCTCTCGCCCAATCAAGGCTGCCTTCTCAGGGCCCCTTGGCCTGGCTCTCGGCCCTGTTGACCCTTTCTGTCTCCAGAGCCCCGTGGAGACTCACCCTGTCTTTGGGTCTCTCTGCTCTGTCATTGTGAGAGGACACCTCACAATGGAGAGCTCCCAACTGGGTAAAAGTCCAGTCCTTGCCATGTGATCTGAAGGGTCACTTCACCTTTCTGGGCCTGTTTTTCTTATCTGTGGTGGCAAGGTTGAGAGTTGATATGGTTCTAGGGTCTGCAGCGTGGGGAGTTCAGGTCCTGGCCTGGCCTCTCTGGTGTTGGTTTGTCCATCTCTGTAGGAAGTGACTGGGCAGGTGTTCTATAGAGGCAATCCTAACCTTAGGTGTGTGGTCCCGGGAAGGCTGCTTCCACTTCCTCATCTGTTCATCGTGGACAGAAGTATCAGCTTGCCTGTGCTCTGCTACTTCAGTTACTCATTCAGGGAACATCACTGGATACCCTGTCTCGACCTGGGCAGGTGCTGGAAGTACGGGACAGCCAGGAATCAAGGGGCTCCCGGTTGAACCCAGAGGGGCCACTGATCTGGAGTATGATGCCTAGGTGGTAGCTTTGGAATTGAGGGGGAGAGAGAGGAGTTTGACAGCACCAGGAGCACTGTGCACAGACCCAAAGACGAGTAAAGAATGGGATGGGGGAGACAGGACAGGGCACCGGGAGAGATGCCCTGGTGGAGAATGAGAACTAGAAGAGGATTAGAAAGCTGGTCCAGCCCTCAGCTTTCTGGAACCGGGGTCTTACGGTGCCAGGGTTGCTGTCGGGACAGGCCGCTGCCACTACCTGTCTGCGCAAAGGCACCGAGGCTGTGCTAGAGCAGGGCTGTGGGCATTGCTGCTTGGGGTCAGCCCGGAGAGATTAGAAGGGGTGACGGAGTGCAAACTGTGGCTTGCAGAGGGGCCGAGGTGGAAGGTGGCCGGATGTACAGCCCCTGTGGCCCTGCCCTGACAGTGGGCGGGGCCTCCAGGCGGTGTCCCTGTGGGGGTGGGGCCCAGCTCCTAGGCTGACTCGGTGCCCTCCACACCCGGTTCCCTAGGCTCCAGCTTTTAAACTTTAACGAGCATCAGCTCAG